TAGGTCACCTGAGTTTACTCAGGTGACCTAAAAAGTAGGGGGTCAAATTTCTATGGGGTTTATTTTAGAAGGTGTGTGGAGTCGTCGTAAAATTACCAGTCTGGAAGGTCGAAAAATGACCCAACTTGTCGTAGAATGTTAACCCTGGGCATCAATACCTTTACTTTTGTTAGAAGAAATCTGAAATATAGTTTGATTTTTAAAGTTCTTCAGTTTCATGACCAGGGTTACATTAGCTTAGTAGATACCAATATCGATTTTTTGATAACCAACAAAAGCAACACTGTACAACCATTAAGTAACAAAAGAGTACACTACTTAATTAAAGTTTTCAATTGCGGATCTACTCGATCAAAGATCTAATTTTCATTGAATTGAATTATACATATCATCTATGGAACTCGTAAATTTATTTACCTCGTCATTGGTCATTTGAAAAATTATTTTGTTAAAACAGATTCTGATTGCACACATAAGTACTCTGCAGTTGACTTCAAGAAGATGCTTGAGTTTCTGATTGACAATATCTATGTGGTTTTTGGAGACCAGGTATTCCAACAATCTATTGGAATTCCCATGGGTACAAATTGCGCTCCGTTATAAGCAGACTTATTTTTATATTCATATGAAGCAGAATTTATGCAAAATCTTATGCGTGAAAAGAAGAAAACACTTGCTGTGGCCTTCAACTCGACATTTAGATATATCGACGACGTATTGTCAATTAATAATGAAAATTTCCATTCCTACGTCGACACGATATATCCTGGTGAGCTTGAGATAAAAGATACCACAGAGTCCGACACTTCTGCTTCATACTTGGATATTTAACTTGAAAAAGACACTAATGGTAATCTAACAACCAAGCTATATGATAAACGTGATGACTTTAACTTTTCTATCGTCAACTTCCCTTACTTATGCAGCAATATACCTTCATCACCTGCATACGGAGTATATATATCTCAGTTGATTCAATACGCAAGAGCATGCTCTACGTATGAACAAATTCTTAAACGAGGTAAATTATTGACAGGCAAGTTGATGAATCAAGAATATCAACAGTCTCGTTTAAAGTCATCCTTTCGTAAATTCTATGGTCGATACAATGACCTTGTCAGCAAATACAATTTATCATTGAATGAAATGCTGACTGACGTTTTTCATACCAATTGTTAGTCCATTATTTATACACTGAATTGACGACGGATTTTTTCCGTTATTTCCTGATTATGACAAAGAGCACACGACGGGTGTGACCGGTCGGCAGGGGATGCTCACTCCTCCATGGCACCTGATCCCACCTCTGATGTTTCGGAGGTCCGTGTTTGCTCTGCTCTTATTTTGTATATTGTTTAATGGACGTTGAGACTGAATACTGTTCGTTATTTCCATATCCTTCTCTAACAAATATTTCAATCAACCTACCAATGTGCACGACAAATCACGTCATATCAAATTAACATATTTCAATGAAACAGAAGTCGTTAATTTTTCAATTACATAAATCAGACAAACTTTTTAAACGGACTTAGATATATTTAATTTTTATGTTGCTCGCGTGGTGCAGTGGTTAGAACGTCTGTCCTAGAGTCATGAAGTAAGGAGTCGAATCCCACTGTGTGATGAGACCGTATAAACATAAGTCCCGTGTCACAGCAGGTTTTGACACGAAGAAGATCCCTCACTGCTCAATGACCCTGAGTGCCAAGTAAAGGCCCAAGCTTGTTGCTCCCTGTGACGTGGGCCAATGGCGTCTCCACATGAGTGAAAAATTCTCAAGAAGAACGTTAAACAACATACAATCAATTTTCGAAAAGTTTTGTATACAAATCACTTACCCTATATTCGATGGACGTGGTCAGAAGGACACGAAGGAGCGTAAAGTCATATAAAATCCATTGATTATCATGAAACTAAACGTTTAATGCTTCAATCACACGAACCAGTCCGAACTATTCCTAAGCTGACGTACATATGAATGATTTTTTTTAAAACTATGGCACAAGTCATTTACCACATATCATACAGTTGATTATGTGCAGATACCCGATGGGTGTGGTCATAATGACAACTCGAGAGCGTATCTGCACATAATCAACACTATGATAGCTCCCGAGTTGTCATTATGACCACGCCCATCCGGTATCTGCACAAAATCAACAGTATGATATGTGGTAGCTACTACTAAGAAAACAGATTTTTGCGACATTCTTTTAAATTGTTCAATATTCCATATGTAATGGGGTTTTTTTTACCATAGGGACATCGAGAAAAATAAAATAACTGTATTAGACAAAAGATTTTTCAAAGATCTTCCGAAATTAAAAAGATTGTAAGTATACATTCTGATATTTATATTTCAATTAAAATAATTTGGAAGATATATAAAATTTTAGTTCAATGCTCCTGAAATCGAAGATGCAGGACACTGGAATAATATTTGGTTTCTTTGTCTGTCTGTTCATCTTTTCACAAAAAATTTACTTTTACCTATTTTTGTTAGTAGAACTGTCATATTTCACCTGTAACATCTTTCTGGTACCAACATGAACTTTGCTAGAACTATCATATTTTACCTGCCTCTATCTAAAGATAAGATCTTTTTTATACCAACATGAGCTTTTACCCTTAGAGAGTTTAACTTCCTTTTGCAATTTAAGCAAACTTTAATCATGGAACGTTGGATCGGTTTGTACTAAAGATTTTGATTTTTACAAAGATTGTGTATATCATGTAAAAAGACCCGTACATGTGAATGATTTTTTGTCTATTTACCTTGACTTCAAAGTTTGAAAAAACCTTTAAAAACCTTTGATTTTGGTTACAACTTATCAACGATTAGTACTATAGTTTGGATATTTCACTGATGTATTTATCGTGATAAGGATTTATCTTCATTTTCAATATTTTAGACCTTGATTTTGGAGTACGGCATTTTTTTTTTCAAAACCTCGTTAACATTCCAAATGAATTTGTTAATATATCACATTTATATTTTTGTCAGGATTTTTTTCTATTACCAATTTATTTTTAACCATTGAACTAAGTTTTGGATTTTTACCTGCATTAAGTCTTGGACGTGAGTTTTCAAAAGGGACAAACGGTGTTTCAATAAGAAAGTTTTCGTGTAATACATTCATACTAAAACACATAATGGGGACATTCCCTGCTTTTATTATTTCTTCAAATCATTGAAGTTATTTAGCATAATAAATCCATTTTAGAGCAGTAGAAGAGAACCCTCTGCACTGTGATTGTATCCTAGCAGAATTTGTCATGTTTGCCACATCAAGAAACTTGACATTGAAGTATGACACAGAACCGAAATGTTCAACTCCGAGTAATCTGACAGGAGTTTTGTTGAGAGATCTCTCCTCAGAGGACATGGATTGTGACGTGACTACAGCAAAGACACCAGTAAAGGAAACGACAGGTAAAAAGATGATTTTCTAACTTAGAAAACGCACTGATTTGTCTGCGTGTCTTCATAGACAACATATCCTATAAAAGACACATAGGCAACATATCCTATAATAGACACATAGACAGCATATCCTATAATAGACACATAGACAACGTATCATATAATAGTCACATAGACAACATATCCTATAATAGACACACAGACAACATATAATATAATAGACCATTGACAACATACCGTATAAGTAGAATTTTTAGCGAGGATTTAATTTTGGCATTATTAGCGAGGGTGCTGAGATCGCTAAAATTAAATATCGCTAAAAATAAATTTCATTGTATTTGTAATAGCTTCTTTAATGTGGCATTTTAAAATCGCTAAAATAACATCTCGCTAAAAATAAATTACCAGTTTTTAAGGTCAAATCGCTAAATTTGTGTCTCGCTAAAATTTCCACTTATACTGTATCCTATAATTGACACATAGACAACATATCCTATAATAGACGCGTGGACAACATATCTTATAAAACCCACCTCTTTTTGGAATGAACTGAAGTTGAAAGGTCGGGTAGGTTTACAACATAATGTAAGATTGATGTTAACAATAAAGGAAGTGAAAGACAAGGATAAATTAAACGTGAAAATAAACTTACTTTACTTCTTTATATTTGTAAATACTATACTTTCTTGTAAATTGGATTAATCTGATTCGTCGAGAAACAATTCTCAAAAAATCACAATTACACGCTGAATAATGAAGCCTCGACCAGTGAGTCAGCAGTCAACATTGCTTGACGACGGGTGATATTCTAAAACACTGTTGACTGCGCAGAATTCTTAAAGTCAGTTATGCCCGTTTTAATCATGCTTTGTAACCTCCTGAGCTGTACGAAAATACACGTAGAATCGTATATCCTAAACTAAACACGGTAATATGCAGATTTTGTCCCATTAAAATAAACAACTTTACAGTGTTTTGCATCATTGATCAATACTATAGCCTGATTGGTTAAATGCTGCAAGGAAACAATGAGATAGTTATCAACGTCCTGTGTACCAGGTAAGACTGAAAATAGAAAACTTTATTAGAAAAGAAACCAAGAAAGCTATTTCAAGTAGAGAGAGAGAGGGAGGTAGGGATTAAACATTTAATGGAAACGGTCGGTTTAGTTTTCACAAAGTGTGATAGATCAAAAATAAATTAAAAAAAGAATATCGAACTGGAAAAAATTCACTTCGTATCTTAATTCAGATTTTCTAATTAATCGTCTTTAAAAGTAATACGCAACTACATTGTTTCCTCATGATTTTTTTTTTTGGCGTTAAGAGAAAATGATTCACCTTCAGGATTTGGTTACCTTTTAGGTAAGATATTTATTTGTACAATACTCACTATTCAAAATTTCATTGTTTTGTAAGAATTGATTTGATTTAATGATATAACAAAAATAATAACCCTTTTAATATATCAAATTAAATACAAGGTTAATGTTCAGCGAATTATGTTTCATATTTTACGAAGTTCTGATTAACAAATTTAGTGATAAATGAGAGTACCTGAAGAGGGTCAGTGAGGGTCTTACTGAGCTATGTTACAATTAATTTGACATTTAAAGGCTTTAATTTTAACTCTTTGGTTAATTACTAAAAAATAACGTTTATAATATTTTACAAGATGTAACCATGGAAATAATTATAATCTTATAATATGTAAAATAGTTTGAATAATATTTATCATTGAACAAATCTTGCAAATTTATGCGTGTTAATTATTGTGTGACCTTTCTGCACTAAATATTAACATATTTGAGGTATTAAAAAACTAAATAGGCAATAAAATATTTTGTTAAATCAAACTTTTAACGAATTAAGTGCTGATTAGTCACGAGTATCGAGTACATGTAGTTTAAAATAATGAAATAAAAATTTGGGGCCAGTGATATTAATTTTGAAATATTGGTCAAAACGCGTGTTTTTTAGTTGGAAAACAGTGTAATTTTTCTACATATCTTCATTTCTCGGCAACGTTTGTTGAGGGAAGGTGTAAAATTTGTTCTAAATATATAGATTTAGACCTTAGAAAATATTCTCTGATTGAAAGTATATGGACTAAAGTTCCAAGATATTAATTTTATTAAATATGCAGAATTTTCTGCTTAATATCCTTCCACCACAAGAAATAATCCCTCATAAATGTTTCTTCTTTGTGGATTTTTGAGCAGTTTTTCATTGAATGTTGAATAAAATATATTGTTTTATTTACATATGTTATAAAAATTGAATTATAACAAAGAGTTTTGAAGTAAGGGGCTCTGTGTGAACTTTTCTAAAAAGCTGACGAGTGACATACGTTAATTCATTCGCATGATCAACACAATCTTTCTTTTTTTATTCCTTTTTTCTGTTTTTTTTTAAGACATGGTTTAATAAGAAAATGTACATACATATTTTTTTCCATTTGTAATTTTTTATGTTCAATGTATTCTTTCATTTTCATTTTAGAAATACAAAAAAAATGTTTTAAAACTCTTTATTTTTTTCATTTAAACTAATGCTTGTTAAGTAAAAGTTTAGGGTTTTGTTCACTGATCTTGTCAAGAAGCACACTACAAGTTAAAGCGATCGACAGTGGATGCTTACTCCTCCATATGGCACCTGATCCCATCTATGATATTTTACAGGTTTGTATCTTTATTGCTCCCGCTTTATATTGTTTTTATTTAGTTTTGAGCTTTTCTACTCTTCGTCGTTTCCAAATATTTTATTAAGATATATTTTATTTAATATATGTTCTTCACAAAGGTTTCTGCATCTCTTCGCAGTTGAAATTTCATCTCGTATAGAACCCTGAATCCATTTGGAAATACAGGTTACAACGGGTAAGAAAATTATTTCGGATTTGATGAAATCCGGTCATTTTAAAAAATCATTTTAAGATCTCATGTAGGATTTTACACCATTAGCCCAAACAACACTTCTCAAGACTTTAACCTGTTTCATTTACCACTGTACATAATTAATCGGTTCTTCTCAACAGGGGATTTTCACTCCTTCTAGGCACCTGATCTCACCTCTAGAATTTCCAGAGGTCCGTGCTTCACGTCCTCTTCAAAGATTTGCGTTGCGTTGAAGTGTCTTTTTTGTCTAATTTTGCCCCGCAAGCTACGCTTTAGCTAAAGTTGTTTGTATTTTACTTATAAAATGCATTTCTTTTGGAAAATCATTAAGGTTCAAGCAATATTTGATATGAGTGTGCAGAGGGTTTATGAACGTTAAATTGATTATTTGCAAATCTAAAATTATTTTCATTATCTCACTTGTATTTTAGCCTTGAAGTTCTTTGAAGCAGTTTTGTCTCTAAACAAATCAATTTTCAATTCATAGCCTCTTTGGCACAAAACATTTTTTTACAAAAAGAAATGATTTTAATTTTAGTTTTAACACGTCATTTGATTGGATTTTTTTTCGTATAACATATGTTGCCTACGTCAAAATGAGGTACGTCAAAAGTACTACTTTTAGATTATGATCAATTTGAAGCCATTTTTGGACGAAATATTTTCTTATTGTCTAGACTAAAATTAAATCATAAAGAATGGAGCTTATTTTAATCTATGTTATATGATATAACATAACTTTATGTTTACTCTTTATAAGAAGGGTTTTAGGGGGCACCCCTACCTTGAAGTCATTGGTCAATTTGAATTCTTTTTCTGAGTTATTTACTTTCCTGCATATGCAGAAAGTAGGGAGGGATTCCGGGGGAAAATCAACTATACTGAAAAAACCTGAAACGCAAAATACCAGAAAAAACATCTTTCAGTAGTTTTCCCCCCTTCCATTACCATTATTTGAAAAGACTAAAATCAAACATGGGATGGGGAATTCCAAAAAATATTTTCTCTATTAAAATTTTTTTCTGTCTTGAAAAAGGGACAGGCCCCTTGGCCCCCTACTGAAGCTTCCTGCATGAAGACTTGAGGTGGAGGTAGATAAAGTGTCTTGAAGGAGTTTATTTGAGTCCCTTTCCCAATATAAATACGAATAATGACCCCTGTAGAGGTAGCACCGAAGCTATTTTTCGACTAATTGTGCAAGCTATAAGATTGACGCCGTATAAAAATGACTGCCATTCCAAAAGAATAAAATAAAGTTTAAAGAGGTGATGTCAAGATCATGATCTTTACTTTTTTCTTGACGTTTTTACCGTAGCCAAAGTGCTCACTCCGTGAACGGGAGATCGGAGTTCGAATCTCGACCGAGACTAACCCAAGTCGATTTAAAAAAATGGAAAGCAACTGTTCTTATGCCTTGCGCTCTGCAATTGAATTTAACTTGAAATTACATGAAGTCGCGGGTCCTTCGGATGAGATCTTTAAAACCGAGGTTACGTGTCACGGCAGGCACTGGCACGATATAGATCCCTCACTTTCAATGGCCCTGAGTGCTGAGTAAATACCAAAATTTGATGCTCTTCACCGGTATATAGTTACGTTACATGAATGATAAATTCTGCAATGGCACGTAAAACAACATACAATCAATAAATTTTGATCTTTTTTGGTGAACACTGGAAGACAAGTATTAAATGTTTGTCTGTTGAAAGTAGTGCATATATAACATATCCAATGACCTAATCATTGGCAACGTACAAGAATGCTTACAGGAACTAAATCATTTTCTGATTTTGGTGACCGTGTTCCTATAGTTACTGAAAAAGGAAATTCCTCAGAAATATTTTCTTAATGCTATTTCATTACAATTTGATGTGCTTCATAAGAACTGAAATAAATGACATAAAAAAAATAAGCTGCGTAAATCGAAGGTTTTTTCAACGCAGGGATCTGAAGCTCTCTGCTTCATCTGTCCAAATTTTCTCAAGCAGAGAGCTACAGTTCTGCAGCTAAGTATTTTATATAAAAAAACAAAAACTTTTAAAAATTTATGGATGAGTCCCCGTCCAACCCCCCTGTATAAGGCGCTTCCTACATGTCTTCATACGTGAATGATCATAGGGTTTCCATCCAAAATCTCCGGCCGCAGTTACTCATGCACATACAACATCCTCAAAATCTGAGCAGGTACATAAATTATCCTCAATTTTTAATACAGTGAAACCAAGTATAGTTAGATATTTTAGGCAAAAGCAGATGTCCATGTTACAATATCTCTTACTACTCGGCCATAAGCTCTAATAGAATCTAACGATTTAACGATTTTATTTCATTTTTTTTAGACTTTTCAATGGAAGAGGGATTTGATACAACATATATCTCCTAGCTTCAGATGGCCTTGATATCAACGACTTTGACCGTTCGGCAAGGAAATCTTACTCCTCCATGGCACCTGATCCCAACCTCTGACGGTTGGAGGTCCATATCTGCTCCACTCCTATTTTGAAATGTCTAATGGACTTTGAGCTCGAATAGTATTCGTTACCTCCTCATATATTTGAAGTGCCATGAAAGTGAAAGTGATAGCCCAGATTTTAGAGTTCAGTAATTAACTTAGACATATAACATTTGTCAGGATCATGATAAAGCATTTAATTTGAATCATTCCATTGAAGGATTATGGGTATATAAACCTGGAAACCATTTAAATATGCAGTTTGATCTTTAAAAAACAATCTTGAGACACATTGAGTATAGCTTTAGTCAAGAAGATGCTTAAACGATTCAAATAAAGTATTGCACATTATTTTGTGATAGATAGAGATGCATAGACGGAATTACAATAGACAAGCATCTCTTTACATTCTTCACCCCTGAGGACACAATCAGAACCTTGTCAAAGACAAAGGCTGAATCAAATATCAATTACTACCAGGTAATCGTAACTGTAAGACCACATGGATAAGTTTTTGTTTTATGAAACCGGGTAAAATCAACAGCCTTATGGCTGAGAAAACAATTGAGAAAAATCTACAAATAAATATGAAAGTAGCTTGATTTTCAGGACATCATCTAGTTATTTTATATTTCAAAATAACATGTATAAGCAAAATGTGAAAGTTTTACAATTCCATTGTTTTTATTCAAAACTTTTAAATAATGATACACGTAACGTTTTTTCTTTACATACAATTTTGACATCATTGAAAAAATTGTCAAGAATTTAGACAGGAGAGGACAACGGAGCTTTTTTTGTCATTAATAGATGAATTTACAATTATTTTAGGTGGGAAAACTCATTCTTTTAACTCAACAAAAAAACTAAAAATCAAAAACCTGAAAAATAGCTCGGAAGTCCCCTCCTGGGTCCCAAATATTCATTAAAACAGAAAATAATTAAAAAAAATTTAACTCAATTCACATCATTATTAGTACAGGTGGTTTGGGCGTCCATTTTAGAACTGAAAAAGAAAAAAAGAAAACCACTGTATCAAAAACAATTTAAACAGAAACATGAGAATGAAGGAAACAAGGAAGAACATGCTGGTAAAAAGAGTATGTTGAAGACAATGGTCTTTTCATTTATCAATAAAAATCAACGTAGCTTTAAAATCATCTATTTTGTCGATTACAATGACAGAATTCTACGAATTCCTGAGCACACCTAGTCCTTATTCTACATTCTATGAATAAGCCAATTTGCTTAGCCTTATTTTGAATGCCAACAATTCAACTATCAATCTTTGAATGAGAACAGATAAAGACTACAGAAGTGATTGAGAAAGCCACAGAAAAGATTATATTAACTTACTTCAGGAACTAGATTTTCCTCCACAACTAAAAAAGGTCTTTCTAAACCAGTGTGCTACTCTTCTTATTCTCTGAAAAGTAGAAAACGAGAAATTATCATCATTCCTTTTACACAGCCAAACGTTCTAAAGATAAATAGTAACCATTCACGTCATTAACCGTCGGGTGGCGCTGCGGTTTTAGAGGTGGTTACGCAAACGTTTGAATTTGTCAAGCGCTTGACTGAGTGTAAACAAATGGTAGCGTGGCGAGACACTGTGGTTTCTCCTGGACTTATACCTCCAAATTAATTAATTTGTAAAGAATGCCAACTCTCTGTGGTGTGCCAGGATGTTGTAGAGGATGCGGACACTCATTATTTTCAGATCCAGACATTTGTTTGAGACGAAAAGTGACGCTAAATCGGTCATGAAGATGATCAGCTGACTTGGTAAACACGATGTCTCTTGTCACCAATATTTTGGAGTCGGCGATATTAAGGATTAGATTTTTGGTGAAATATTGATTTTGATTAATTTTAATTAGTATTTTACGAAGTATATGTCATTAAATCATATAGATTTAACCATAAAACAGAGTTACTATATATATAGTATAAAACATATTGACTTGGGACTTTTTAACTTTTTCTTAAATTGAAAAAAGTGAACTCCCTTTTTATTTTTTCATCAAAGGATATTTGAATTATTTATATTAATAGTGTCTTAATAGCTTGACACATGGCAATATTATTTAAAATATTATTTCAAAAGTTTGAAATCTAATTAAAATCTCTAAAGCTTTTGTTGCTTTGTGATTTTGTTGTTAAACAGACAGACACAGCACTGGTAAATGTAATAGGATAAATTCTGATTAATTTAATGTACAGTGGCAGTTTTCTTTTAAAAATGTACAAATAGAGTGTATGATGTGTTTATGTCCCCATAGAATTAACTTGATTTGTTAGCAAATGGAATAAGTACTGCAATTTATAATTTAAGATCAATGTTTAATTTTATTATATATTTTAAATTTCAACACCAGAAATAATGAGATATTTTTCCTCGCTTGATTAGTACGAGTAGGGTCTTTGGTTTTCCCTGGGTAAACATTGATTATATAGTATTCAACTTTAACTCAATACAATTACAAAAATAATATTTGCACAGTTCCTTGTTTACAGGAGACAAGAGTAGACTAAAAAAGGATGCAGTAAACTTGACATCCACTTTTGGACTTTAAAACTCCAGCAATACGTACAAGTCCAACAGCTCCGTGGCTGCAGTCAAGACAAGAAATATGTACAAAGACTGAATGTTCCTCAAGAGTTGTGAACTAAAGTGTGCATCATGAAGTTTATACCAGTATCCCCAATGATAACTAGCAGTCACTGTGATGTTTCTTTAAGATCAGCCATATTCTTTAACAAAGAGATGAAAAATTCAATGCAAGCATGTAAGCAGTTGAAGACTTTGTCCGAATGATTCTTTCTCATATTGGTACATATTGTAGAAGCTATTAGCATGATTAGGCTATTAAGTGAGATGTGCTTAGAAGATTTTCAACTATTACTTTTTAAATTTCAGAACACAAGTATATAGTTTTAAGAATTTTTGACACATTTAATTTTTAGAAAAATTAATAAAAAATCTTTTTGCTTGCTTTGAAAAAGAATTAAAAATGATTGTACATGTATTATGAATTCTGTGGAATCTTTTTAATCAAGTTAATTTGTGGGGTTCAATGTTCATGGACAAGAAAAATTGTTCATGGGTATGTAATTTTGTGGATTTTAACTCATTGATAATGTAGATTCAATCAATATGTTAACAAAATCCATGGGCAAGAGAGACTCGTCAAATCCACAAGCATTGATTTCCAAGAATATTGTACCTGCATGCTCAAATTTAAGTACGAAAGGAATAAATATGTATAAATATTTGATACAATCTTTTTTGTTTTATTTATTTACAGCCATGAATAAAATAAGCAAAATCGTTAACAGAAAAAAGTTCAAGCTTTGGAAAGATACTGTACATGTACATAATTTGGCATTTTCAAAATTTAGCGCAATCAATAGATATGGTTGTTGGCATAATCATGAATTAATGCTACAAATATTTGTGTCGTATATTCCATTTATAAATGAATTTTTAGTGGTATTTATGAAATATGAAGCCCGCTATTTTAAGTACACATACAGTAAATTCCTTTCAATGTCAATTTTTGATGTACAAACATATTAAAATGTTAAGTCTGTGCATTCTTTCATTTCACAAATTAATTTCTCTTGCCAGGGATTGTTTGAGTACATCAGCTTCTTTTCTCTTTCAGTGCTTTGTGGAATCCCTTCAAATAAGAATGAGTAGCAATTAGTATAGAGTAATTAGCATTATCATGACTGTACTTGTTTTTTGGTAAATTAAACTGTCTTTAATTATTTTTTTAATTTTTTAAATAAAATTGATCTACTTTTCAAATTAAAATAGAATCCTTAATCAATCCTTAATTGTAAGTTTGTGAAAAGTCTGAAGATACTGCATACAAGATTATTGTACCGGTATTTCTTCTATTAGAGAATTTTCCAAGCATGAGCATACCTAGTCTATGTGTGTACAGGCTGAATGTTGCCCCATATTTCCAGCAGAACATTTTCTCTGTGAATTAATGTATAGGACTGCCAAACATCTCAACACTTTGTCTTAGGTTGTAATACACCTAGTGATAATAAAAGGAAATACTTTTTTTTTAAGAATTAAAATTGGAAGCACTGAAGCATTGCTTAGGCCAAAATAAAATTATAGTTTGTTTGGAATTGCCTCCCGCCTCATTGAAATGCCCCCTCCTGAAAAAATTTTATTGACCAAAAGTAGGAAGATTTTTTTATATTTAATCAATTTTTTTTTGCCCATTACATGTATCACATGCACCATACAAAACACTGAAATATAGTGTCTGATCTATGTAAAATTAGGTTTTCAATTTAAAAGAAGTAATTTCCCTCCCTCCCTCCTGTGTCTCAAATCCTTCAGGCGGCAATTCCAAACAAACAATTTTTTTAAGGATGGCCTTAGGTGTAATTTATGAGTACTTTCTATTATTTAAAAAAATACAAATGCAATTACATACCAGTTCCGTCTTTTTCCCTGACAGCACTGACAATAGGATGGATGCCATTTCATGAATTAGATGGGGAAAAATAGAATTTTTATGTAACATGTACCATCCAGCCATAATAAAGCTCCCTGTAAGCTTTGACTTCTTATTTTACCTGGTGATCTCCTAAATAAAATAAAATGAAAAAAATATATTCTTAAATAATTAAAAAATAACCCAATTTACTCAGTATAGGCTTTTATTTAGGAACAAATATACAGTCAGCCTGTAAGTGAGGTCAATCCATAGTCCTGATAATAAATTCTTTTTTTCAGAGGACTGTAAAATTATGTTTTTTGTATTTAGTTGTACAATAACAGCTACTACATGTAATTCCTTTTATGTATTTTTACATACAGCAGGTTTTATTTAATTACTGAGTATATCTTTCCGACTTAATGAAATTGTAAATGTAAACTTTAGAAGTTGTCGAGGGTCACATTATAGAAACACAAATAACGGTACTGTACAAAATGGACCTAGCAAATTATAAATTTAAAATATTTGTATTCATTTTTACCTTTATTATAACAAAGGTGTAATGCTCTAAGTATACATGTAGCTACTGACTATGAAAAAAATATGTACAGAACAAATAAATTTCACAATTATTCATATGCACTATATAGTATAAGGGCACATATCAATCTATGTTTGCTTGTTGTCTAATTTCCCTCTTAAGAATTTTTTACTCATATGGAGACACCATCATTTGCTGATGGCGGACTGCAAATATACCTATTCTCGGCACTCTGGGCCATTGAGCAGGGATGGATCTTTTTTGTGCGAACACTTAC